CCCCCCATCTGTTTTCCCTACAGCAACTGTCTCTACCTGCCTCCTCAACCCCATTCCTCTGCCTCTCACATCTTCTAGAAAATGTTCACTTCCACAAAAACAGCATACTGAAACAGAACACATTCTACCTAGTATTCCTATGCAAATGAATTTTGTTACATGCCATATCAGGCTGTGGATATGCTCCTGACAAAACACCTACCATGCAATTATTTAACGCTACAAACTTAAATGATTTGTCCCATCTTTTGACGAACCCGTACGGATAGAATGTGACTATATGAGAGCCTTACAACACAGGCAGCAGTTCAATAAAGGCACCATTCTCTTCCATGCATTTTAAGTGCTCATCGTGTAACTAATATTGCTTCTAGGAGGAGGCAGCCGTACAGTGGAGAATGGCTTATCTGGTTTAGAAGCCATCAAGCACCCCCTCTTGCAACTGCGTAAGCCTCTAGGGGCAAGTAAGTCTAATTCTGATTATGTTAGATTAAATCCACCTCAGCTTATGGATCTAGGAGTCACATAAAAGTATTTCCGTGTCCCATCAATACTAAACAGCGCTTCGCTTTCAATCATGGTATCGTTTTCGTTCCCATCATTTTTATTGTTAGTGTATGCTGGAATCTCTTGCCACAATTTACAGAAATGACTGGTACATGTATGCGTGGCAGTGGTAGATTTCATATTTTGATTCCTACCTTTGTTCTTTACGAATGGTAGGGACAGGCTTGGACAGTTCCGATTCTTTCTTAATGTTCATCAGATAAACTTTCTTCATTTGCACATAACAATTCATGACACTTGCATGCAGTCACTTAAGAAAACAAACTTAACTATTGGTGCGCGCATAAATAAAACGAAAGTACTTGTGAACTTACAACACTTAATCCAGATCCACAAGGCTTCAATAAATATCTTCAATAAATATGCCCAATTTATTTGAAAGAGAGAGAGAATGGCATACCTTCTGATGGAGGGCTGTTACGGACTTCATCATTGCTTCTGTCTACATATCACCATTATTCAAATGTTTCAGTATTTCGATTGCTAAGTCACTCACATTTTGTTTAGGAGTGGTTAAGTGTGCTAAATAGATGGAACATGGTATTAGCTAATTGCAGCAATGAAGAGTTTCAAGCTCTCACAACCAACAAACAAGGCTGTTCTGTTGATCATGGGTTTGAATTGGACAACTGACCTTTCTTCCTCTGGTGTAAACTAGTGTGGAGTCCAGTTCTCTTTCTAGCTGAATGAGTTGAGTTATATTTAGCTGTTCTATGTTCTTCCCTTCAAAGTACCTGCAAAAAAGAGCAAATACATGCTAGTGATAGGTCCAGTGGAATGCAACATGTCAATTTCCATTAAGCGTATGACATGAATCTGAAGATTGATGATACCTTTGGACCATTTGGAGTGGGTTAGCATCCATATAGCTGGGACCCATGTATTCCGCGTGATGATTCTGCTGAATTTCCAAAAGGTAAACAAAATGAAAGCTAGGCAATATTGATTTCATCGAGAGGATCTAGAATTATAAAAGGCAAAAAAAAAAAAAAAAGGGGAAATAAAATCTTCATCAAATTGCTGTATTTAGCTTTGTCGATCGAAGTAACTTTATGGAAAATTTGGTTGGACTTGGTTGAACTACCTCATGATGGCTTCTATCATGAGGTAGTTTAACCAAGTTTGGTAACTCAAATGCTGGATCATTGAAATAAAGAAAACTTATCCCACAAAAAACAATTATATAAACACGAAAATAAAAGACTAAAAACCTCTTGAACCTGATTAATTTGGAAGTTAATGTTCGAGCCTATTAATCTATGGTTACTTTAGCAAAGCCAATAATCTTGAACAATCATTGCACTGCCCTATGACTATAAATCTGGTCATTAGTCTATCCTGTACAGCAGTGCCTTCACATTTCACACTTTCTTTTTCTGTCCCCCCCCCCCCCCCCCCACACCCCCCCAGCCACGGGCTCAAATCCCTCACTTCCCCCCCTTTTTTTGCCCCCCCCCCCCCCCCCTAACAACATGATCCTCCTAGAAAAACACATCCTTCCTCCAGGAGCAGTGCACTGATCCCTGAAGTAACATGCATATTTGTGTCATAGGCATCCACGTAAAAGTGCACATACATGATAGAAAACATTTTAAGACATTAATACGGGTAGCCTGAAGAAGCAAAGAGCATCATATGCACCGTGTACCCCTATATTCAGCAACTGCATTCCAGTGTTGTTTCCCAGCAAAAGCTGCCATATTCTGGGTGGCTGCTTATAAGGATTCCACAAAGTCTCTCTCCCTCTCTCAAAAAGTTCCCTTTTACTAATAGGTTTTGAAAACAGAGTCGAAGTAGTTTTTAAGTGACTCTTTCCTCCGGAGTTGGATCTCACGCATTTTTGCCTAAAAGATAGGAAAATGGAATAATCGAAAATCTGTATCTTTTGGAAATTTAGAGATTTCTAGTGCTATGCTCAAATATTGAATGCAATAACAAGTTTTGGCAAAATGATGAATAATCGACTAACCTTGGTTTTATCAACGTTCTTGCAGATTGCTATTTCTTGACTTTTAGTTTTATGTGTGTCATAGCGCTCAAGGATATTTCTCAAACTGTACACAAAGGAACATTGCGCAACTCAGAAATCCTCAAACTGGGCATAAAGGAACATAGTACAACTGATAAAGCATGCAAGGAACCTACAAGTATTTTGAAGCAAATACCAACAGAGAATCAATAAAACGTAAGTATAATAATGAATACTCCAAAAACTGCATCATATTGTATCACTCATGGATGCTATATAAAGTCCTAACTTCAATTTCCGTGAAATTCTTTTATATAATTCTAGAACAATGAAAGTAGATGAACAATCAAAATTGCAACTCGGTAATTCATTTCAATTTGCAAATATATTTGAGGTCGTTTTGCTAATTAACTTGGATCTGTTTTGCTATGATCAGAATTGAAGCTACAAGTGAACTTTAGCCAGCATAAAAATCCCTGACAATCCATATGACAGGTATTTTCCCATTTCTTCCATCTTCTAAAATTTACAGTGGATAATGGTTGTAAGGTTCACTTCTATGAGCCCTTGTTAGTGTGTGTTGTGGTTGTCATTTTTCATTTATGCTGATTGTATTCACTTATTTTCTTTTTGTATCTTGAAAGCATTCTAAGGTTAAGGCTTTCATTTAGACTGGTAGCCAACATGAAAGGTCAATAATAACCAACTCTTCTACGGAAGGCCTTGTATCATCGAACATTAATGTACATGTCATATGTAGTTTTAGGGAGAGACAGTTTCTAGCCTCCTGCTGTCATACAGTAGTGGGACACATGCTGAACATTCTTTGCTTTTTAGTCAAGAGGCATGACTGATCTTAAATAGAGGATATATTGTCAGTTCCAAGGGTTTTGGACAAAATGAAGAAATGAAACATTGAAAGTATGCGATGTGGGACATGATTTTGATTTTTGCTAGTGTGACTTGAGGATTTATCATGATGAAAATCATGAAGGAATTTCCTTTTTTGGAGGATACCCCGTCCTCTGTATTTTCTTCATTTTCTCTTTCGTTGATAGATTTTTATTTGAACTTGAAAAAAAGAAGATAAAAAGGCTAGTAGTATTAGGGTGCAATAATAATCATGATAGTCAAAAGTTAGAAGATAGATTTATGACACTCAGCTATCTTGTTAGGATTTACCTGTCAAGTAAGATCATTAGGAAGAACAATATGCCAAGCAAAAATTAAGTTTTTTGGCCCTTACTCTTAAGAGTTTATTATATTTATTCTAACACCAAAAGATAACAGCTATTACTGAGATGAAACTATATGAATTTTCTCCAACTATACATGATAGCTTAGGTTCTCCACAGAAACTTTGCAATAGGTAACTATGCTTTTATTATTTATGGCCGAGGTGAGTTCAAACGGGTTCTTTTCCTTCTTTTTTTTGTGTATTGCAATAATTAACTACGCTTTTATCAACAGTATGTAACTATTGTATTTCTATTGATAGTATTATTCGATTTAGAAATATAGAAAAGGAAAAAGAAGATTGAAGGAAAAAGGAAGATAATGAGAATGCTTCTCTGCTGTTCTCATTTCTCTTCTTTCGATTATTTTGGAATTATAGTAGGTAATTTGAATGCACTATGTGTTTGAGAATATGTTGTAGTTCTAAAATGAGAAGAATTGCGAGAAAGAAGATAGAAAAAACAGAGAGAATCGAGTATTTGTGACTATGAGTATTTGCTTTGAACATTGGTGTAGATAGCTTTGCAATCAACAAAATCACCATCAAAACATCTCTGTGCCATGCTTGTTTCTGAGATAGCATAACTATTGTTTCTAAAAGAAGTCTCTGTAATAAGAAATTTTCATTATGAGTTCTATTACTACATGCTTGAATAAATATTCAGCTTAGAAAGCCTTTGGAGAGATTAAAGCCTTAATGATTGAATCGCCTGTTATTATGCTAGTTGATTTCAATAAACTATTAACAATGCAGTGTGGTGAATTTCAAGCTAGATTTGTAGTGCCAGTTAATAAGCATACACAACCTTTTCAATGATGAACTATCTGGTTAATTTAGAATGGTCAAGTATGGCAGAATCTGAACTCTAGAAGAAGCTTAACAAGCCCTATGTCATGTGAAGTTCTTATGTTGATGAATTCATCATTGAAGTATAAAAGAAGAGAGTTTAGTGTTTGTAGCAGATGCACTTGGCAAGTGATTTTCCTTAGCAAGGCTAATGGGGAATACAAGTTTCGAGGAGTTCTTATTTCTTCCTCTTCTATTTTCTCTAAAGAACTTTATTCTACTTGCTCCTCTCTTACTATTTCTTTTTGCTACAATAAGCTCGGATTACTTCAGAAATAAAAAATTCTGAACTCCACCCAAACATAATACCTAATCAATCCTAATTTCATGAATCAAACCCCAACTCAAATTCACTACTAAAATTCCTAATTCTCTAACCATAGCTAACTGTAAACCTTTTGTAGAACGCAAATCCAAATTCTTTCGTTTGTTTATGCGTCTCCAACGCCGTCCAAAAAACACACGTAGAGAAACACATTCCAAGTGGCTGAGCAGTTGCCATCACTTTTGAACCAAGTTGCAAGATCCTTACTCTAAAGAAGCGATAATTATAATCTTGAGAATATCTTTTGATCATTTCAACTATATATATATATAAAATTAAGGGTTTTCCATAAACCTTAACTCGCCACTATTTTGTTCCAATTTTGTTTGTTCATGTTTAGTGTAATTTATTATTCTTTCCGTCGGTTCTAGAGAGATAAAATCATTAACTGATATATTATATCATTGTTATTTATTCGCAATTTTTTTAAATACCTTTGTTTTAATTGCAGGTCTCTTACAAGATTAGAGATATTATACGAAAATATATGACTTGATATTTTGACAAACAAAAATAAAAAAAAGTTAAGACAAGCACAATGGGTTTCACAATCAAAAATAAGAAAGTTAGACAATCACTATTGGGACGGATAGAGTACTATTTTTCTCTCCATACTGTTATGTCACTACTGAAAATCTCATTGCTCTCTTCTTACATCCCTCTCCTATTGGATTACTTTTCAGACCTGATTTGACATGTTCATACGAAAGTCAGTAAATGAGATATTTGGAGCTTCTGTCAATCCTGAACCCCATGGTCAGTGGAGGACCCACTCACAAGTTAGGTTTTCAACAGTGGTGGACTCCAATTAGTTGACCAGGTCAATTCACCATTCCGCGACAACTTTGATCCTAGGTTGAATAAAGCCTTGGGCCTCCTCAAAAACCATAACTTCGACTGGCTGCTGCTCTGTTAGGAAATCTTCTTTCATGTTTCTTCAATTCCTTTCCTTACCGAGAACTCTAATTTCCAACCTCGGAAAAAATACCATTGCTTAATCCCCCTCTCATAGAGAACCATTTTTTTACTATCTCCTAATTTGTAACCTACGTTCATGAATTGGCAGAAAAGTCAAACATGCTTTTAAATCCTAAATAACAATTCAATAAACTCATAACTTAACTTCTCTATATTTTGTTTTTGGAATGACTCAAACCAGTAGAAAATCGAGAAAACAAGTGCCTTGTGTTATAGTTGTAGTTTTGTTCTATCTAGTTTTGTTAGTTATTTACTTGAGTAATTATAATCTAAAAATTGATCAGAGTAAGCGTTCAGATCTATTATGATATAAGCATGAGACACTCAACGAATTTTTTTAGACTTTGAATTGATGTAAAAACAATTTTATTGGATAATATTAAAGTATTTAGAGGCATCTTTTATTTCTGTTAATATAAGAGTAAGAAAATAAAATATAAAATCTAGAAAATATATATTTTCTACTATTTGTATCTGTGTATCATTTATTCTATTCCTATGAAATACTAAATAAAAGAGTTGGTGATATTTATTTTCTTTGTTTTCAGGATACCTATCAAGCCTAACAAATTTTTTGAGTCATAACACAATTTTAGAAAAAAACTCAACTTAACTAAATAAAAATCAAATCTACTAGTAAGTTACATGAATTTAAAAATAACTTACTCTATTTATGTATTCTTTGTTTTTGGGATACCACATAAAAATAGCATTTTTTTCATTACAATTAAAGTTTCAATTGTAATTTTACTACATGCACAAACATGACCTTAATCTCTACTTCTACATATTAATATGTTTGCTCTCTTTTTTTACCTTGAATTTTGATAATAAACCTCTATACATTCACCTCCACCAAAAAGCTTAATAAATGCATCCATTAATAAACTTGACATTCACCTCCACTAAAAAGCTTAAACTTCCTTCTATATTCTTTTTGTGCTCTTAATAATCACTCATATAATACAACTTAAGAAGTACTTTTGTCATACTAATAGTTAATGACCTACCATACTCTTTTTTTTTTAATTCTCATTTATAAATGAGATTTGAAGTGTAATTTAAGATTTTCTATAAAAGCCTTCCTTTAATTAATTTGTACATATACATATAAGAAAATGGTTTATTCTCTTTTATTTTTATTTAAAAAAATTACTTTTTTCCTTAGAAACAAACATTGTGGAAAATATTTTAAGAAAAAAATAATTAAAATGCATGTTGTTATGATAATGGTATGGTTGTGGTGACAACGACAATATCATGATGGTATAAGTGATGGTGCTGATAACGATTTTGATGGCTATAGCAAAACAAATTGACTGGTTTGGTTATAGTTGTGTGATTTCGTTTTCAATAAAGTGTATGCTATAGCTCTGGGAGTTAGTGTTATCAAAATTGGATTTATTTGACTAGCTAAGCTAAATAACTGGTGACAGGGACCTGAATCAGATCATTTTTAAAACTGATAAAATTCACAATATTGAATAAAAAACAACCTGATGGTTGAATCGGTGAACATTCGATTCAGAGCAATGATCCGAAATTGTAACTAGGATAACATTAATGGTGACAACAGTGTCTTGGAAGTGTTTGGGGGAACGATGGTGATGGGATAGTTGCAGTTTATGATAATAGGTGGCGTTGTGTTGATTTTCATGGTGGTAGTGTTGACATTACAATCTATGAATAGAAAACAGAGCACTAAATGCCATTTTTAAATATTTGATTCGGTTTATAAAATCATTCATAAGAAATAATAAATATAGCAGTTCAACAAAACTTGTTTTTTAAAAAATAAACCATAATGATACCAAATTCTACCGCCGAATTTAGGATAATAGTAATTCACGATCATGTAATGTTTTCATACCATCATGAGAATTCGATATTCATAAAATTTTACTTCTTAGAATTAAACAAAGGCAAATTTTAGCAATTATTTAAATTATATTGAAGTTATTCGCTTTAATGCCAGTTAACATAAACCACTTGATTAATTAAAGAATATAAAGAGGAGATCAGAGTCGCCTCAATGGAGGCCAATTCAGTTCATGGTAGTAATGCTCTCTTATTCCATAACTACGAACCGTTAACATCATTGACTCTAGTCACTGATTTTAGACCATTAAGATCCTATCAAGTTAGAGTATAAAATGTTTATGCTCCATTTAGCATTTAGATGTTTTTGGACTCACCACGGTTTCAAAGTTATTTAGTTTTCATTACTTAAATATATTTTTAATCATGCATATTGTAAAAATTTTGGTTGGAAAAAATTATAATTTGCGGTTTCTCTAATTAAACTTGTTTTTTCCGGTAAAAACTATCATAATATCAAATATATATTTAGCAAACTTACTTTATTTATAGTAGGATTTTATTTTAAAAGAATTTATTTTTCATTGAAATGGAAGCTTTGATTTCAAAAGCATAGTTTCAAGAGTTTATAATAAATAAAAGTTTTGCAATGCTTCTAAAGCCTTTTAAAAAGTTTTGCAATCTATTTAGACATCATTTTTGCAAATTATCAGTAGGTTATCACCCATTACTGCTATCACCAGAGCAAGTTCAAGCATCGACCAACCAAATTTTGGAATCAAAAGCTTGATATTTACAGTAAGAACTTATAAAGTTATTGGTGAAGGTACAACTTTATTTCTTTGCACAATATTTGAATGAAGAATCCTACAATCCCACATTATATGGTATAGAAAGGGACAAAGAGCTTAGCCGCCAAGCGAAGGGGCAAGAGGCTAGGAGCCTAAATGGCTACTACACTATCTACTGCCAAGTGCCCATGAGGCGATGTGGCGCTATATTGAGTCTCAACTACTTGAAGCATCATAAAGCCAGCAATCAACGCACGACTTTGCACTATCCTAGATGATTCAGACTCATGTGTACTTCGCTCTACCACCATCTGTCTTTAAACTGTTATCATCATGTCACATTCCAAGTTCAAAACAAAAAAAAAGTAGATTTAATTTTTTTGTACTTTTTTATGTTATTTTGAAAATTCAATACAATTTACGGGGATTTTGACTCTCATTGAAAATTGAACACATAATTGATCCCACAAATAACACAATTTTATTGTGTTAAAATTGGAAGGAAAATTTGCCTCTTATGAGATGTGTTAAATTTTCAAGATAATTATAAAAAAGAAAGGAAAATAAAAAGATAGAGTTAAAAGTTTACATGCCGTTAAAATAGAAATAAAAAAAACCTTTTGATTGAAAACAACATGGATGCAAGCATTCAAATAGGAAAACAATAGTGGAATAGATCTTTTAATAGAAAGAAAAAACAGGTATAAACATCCTAATAAATAAAACATCAATAAGCACAAACGTTGATTTGTTCATTGTTTCTGTAATTTCCGGAATTAGGATGTGAATAAGATGTCCAACACAAAGGCCCCACATTTTAGTGTCATATGTCCATTTTATGTATACATCAGCAATTTTCGAGTAGATTCTACTAAAAAATTGACAAGTGTAAAAGCTAAGAGGAAAAAGTGGGAAGAAGAGAATAGGTGTTTTTAGAAGTTACTACAACAGGATTTTGCATTCAAATGAAACAAAAACAAAAACTCTTCCAAACTCTTAGGGAATTGAACAATATAATTCAGGTAGATTGAATTATGAGTATGGCTCGCTGTTTAAATAATATGTGATTATGCTTAGTCATAAGTTTTATAGAATAATTTTGGATGAAATGAAATTTGATTCATTTATCAGTTTTTGAAATAGTTTTCAACTAGGAAGCATTTCAATTTTCAAATATAAGTCTACATCAAACTAGCAATAATACAATTCAATCAATAAGAAGTTAAGAGACATGAATACTTACCATAAAAAAAAAACCATTGTATATATAAAAAATATATGTTGAATATAAATATAATCAAATTAGATATGTGGCCGCGATGTAGCTAAAAATAATAAGAAATATATAAATTTAATTTTAATTAAATAAAATATATCATAGGATATTTAAGAGATACGATTAGAATCTACGAGGATATATGAGGGATATAACTAAAAAACTTTTGGCGTTAAAACTTTTTATTTAAAAAAAATACAAATATAATTTTAAGTTTTGAGTTTAAAACAAACATTCAAGTAGACATAACTCTTTTTTTTTTTTTTTTCCTTGTGGGTGTAAATGGGACTTAAAGCCCTGAATTAAAACGAGATTTTAATACATAATAGAATACAAACCTCCTTTAGGTGAGTTATTAATAACCCAATCCTCCCTAACAAATGGATTGGCTAACCTTACAACTCGCTTCAACCAATCATTTAAGTGTTAACTCCTCGTCACAATTAAGTATGATGGGATCAATGTTTAATTTATGTGAGTGTGTGCGCACCAAAAGCTTAAACTAATTATGGAAGTGAGCTTTACTTTCTTATTAAAAGAGTCCTGCATCAAGTGTCAAGTGCTCGTGAGCTGCACGGAGCACCATTGCAGTGTTGTAAAAAGTCAAGCAAGTTGCTCTCGATCAATTACGTTCTTCTAAGCGAGGTTATGTTAGAGAGGAAATTTGCTTTCCTAAATCCTTGCGCCATAATTTTGCTTAATTCTAGACATTGTGGTGTTCTAGGAAATTTTACTGAAACCGATGAACTTTCTAAAAAACATTTGTGATGGGGCTTTTTTATATAGCGAGAAAAACTAGTGTGTGGTGAATTTGGATATTGGTTTAACTATTGGAAAAATTATTTATGCAACACTAATTTTTCATCTATATATTTATGTTCCTTTTGTTAGCATGGCATTATTTCTTGGAATAGAAGAGTTAATACATAACAAATAATCATTTCTATCTTGAGATAACAAGAATATTTCACTATAAAAACATATTTATATTTATATATTCATTTATGTTTCTCAAACTTTTTATACAAAACATAATATCCTTAAATTTAGAGGAACACACAGAAAATACGAGGTGGGTTGCTAAATCAGAATTCCTTCGTGTAATTTGCTACCCCATGGATCTTGCATTTATAATCCATATCATCCTCGTAACCTATCTTGTCTCCTTCTAGACAGTAATTCCTGAAATCAAATAATAAATAATAAACCTAGGCCTAGACGTGACTGATGACCCCAACACACACAACACAGCACAACAGCACGAGCATATGCAAATCATGGCAAAACTGGTGGTATGCATATCAAAGTCAGGAAAGTGACCAAGGCCCACATAAGTGGACAAACATTTCCAGGAGGAGATCCTGTTGATCTTTCCAATGAACAAGGATATACCAAGTGAATCTCGCTCCCTCTACAGTGACAGTTAGATGATTTGAAAAGGGTTTTTGTCTCTGAGTGTGAGTTTCCAACAGCCAAGCAAATATATAATACCATGAAATTCAAAGCATATCTCTAGCAAAAATATCTTCCATATGACCACGATCAAATCCAAAACGAAGAAAAAATAAAATTTAAGGCAAGCTAAAAATGGAAAGTATAAAGAGACAGAATTAAGGACGTGCCTGTTGCCACTGCAAAACTCGAAGAGCTTGCCAGTGGAGGAGAAGATGATGACCGCCATCTCAACATCACACAGAACCGATAGTTCTTTAGCTTTCTTTAATAAACCTCTCTTTCTCTTTGAGAAACACACTTGTCGGCTGCTTTTGTCTTCGATTCGTTGTAACTGCACCTTCCCTCTCACCATGACCGATCCACCAAGGAGTGATCTCTGCGTTCTGTTTCACAAGAAGAAAATGAAGCAGTGTAGCTAAGTCAGAGAGAAAATGAAGAGACGATTGGGGATTCTTATAGATTTGAGCAGAAACAGTGACGAATCGAGTTGGGTGAGTTGGTGATTCCGGGTTGAGAAGACTATAAATGACTGGCACGTGGACGCATATGATGGCTTCAATTTCCTTATTTGTTTTCGGGCTTGTTCACTACTTAAAATGGCTAATTCTACTTTTGTCCTTGTAATGCGGTTTTTTCCTTTAAAAGCCATAGCTGTTGATAATGGTATCTGTGCTGTGTATATTTTATTAGTTAGTGTTAAAAAATAGTTTATTTTTTTATGAATTTCAACCAACATGGTCTATTTTTTAATTAATTTCAGTCAATGTTGTTAATTATATTGGGATTTTTTTATTCATTATTTTTATAGATAAAATATCTTTCATTTATTTATTTCTACTATATTATTTACAGCATGTAGCCCATACTTCGGTCTCATGTAAATAACTCCCGGCTATTTACTTAACCTCACATGCTTTTATATCCTATTTATTTTTGTATTTTAAAAATCATTAATTTTTTTAGAATTAAATTTTTTTTATTATGTTCATTTTTTACTATGTTCATATCATTTTAATACATTAATATCAAAAATATTTTTTTTAATAATAAAAAATATTATTTTGATATATTTTCAGATAAAAAAATTACAATCAAATAATTTTAATATATTAATATCAAAAATAATATTTTTAATAATAAAAAATATTATTATAATATATTTTCAGATAAAAAATTACAACCACATTACAAAAAATGTGTTCGTTTTTGCAAAACAAACATTTACCTACAATTTGATTTAAAAAAAAAACATTCTCTTGCAAAATGATTAGCTTAACTCTTTTTTTAATGTATTAAGAAAAAATATTTTTCTATGAAAGTAAAATAATTATTTTTCATTAATAGTTATAATTGAGCGGTGGTGATGAGACAGGAGAAATGAAATGTCACTGACGATAATGGCAATGTTAAAGATAAGAGTAAAGGACTCCACATGAGGCGGTCATGGTTATATTATTACCAATAATAAAGAGATTTTTCACTAAAAAAAAAAGGATATTAAAATTATAACTATTTTTCATGAAAAATCAAAATAGTAGTTCTAATTTTTTTAATTTTTGTGATAATATAATTATTAAATATTTCTTTTATTTCTTTTTATGAAAAAGTACTTATTAACTCTAATAAAAAGTATTTTTATCCTTAATATTAAAAATATATCTATTAACCAAATATGAAAATATAAAAAAAAATAATGTTAATCTTATATATTGATAAAAATTCTTGTATATAAAAGAAGAATATTGTATTATTCATCATTTAGTTTTCTTTTTCATTTATAAGAAAATGAAAAACTTGTGAAAGAAAATTGTGGAAAATATAAAAAAATATGTTCTTCAAAATTAGCACAAGTAAATTTTTTGAAAGGTAATACCTTTATTGGGTTCAAATGGGTTTTGCATTTCTGGTCTTCATAAACAAAATTAATTGATTGGATTGATGAATCATCAGATTTTCAATGTAATTAATTAATCTTGTTAGAATTTAATAACTACAGCCTATTTCTATTAGCAAGTTGAAGATAACTATAACATTTAATAGTTTTACTATAGAATTTTTTATTGGTGTGAAATATGTATTTTGATGTTAATTAATTTACTAACAAAATTATCGATGAAAATGCTTCATTGATGAATGTTTTATCGGTAATTGTTTGTCCGTTAGTAAATCTATTGGTAATAAAAAAATTACCGATAGATTTACTGACAGAATAGACACATAAAAAAATTACCCGTTTCATTTCATTGGTATATCCCTTGAAAAATATCATCGGTAATTCTGTAAGTAATTATTCAAAATATTTTAAAAAATTCATTTTATAAAATTTTAAAAGAATTAAATTAACATAAATCAACACTCTATAATATATACTCAAAATGCTTAGAAAAAAGAATAAGAAAATCAACCCAAATAAATAAATGAAGTTGCAATTGCTAAAAAATTAAAAATCCTATAAATAAATTAACTAAAAATTGATCTCATATGAAAAGAAAAATCTCACAACAACATTTATACAATTATTAAGAACAAAAAAAATTAAAAATAAAATAAAAAAATATAGTGAAAAAAAGAAGAAGAAAAAAGAAAAAAAATCTTACATCAATGTAGAAAAAATAAAAAAAAAAAGAAGAAAAAAATCTTACATCAATGTAGTTGTAAATGAAGTTAAGAAGAGAAAAAAATTCGTAAAGTATATACTTTAAAAAAAAAGAGGATAAAAAAAAAAAACATACCTGAGTATGGAGAAGAAAATAGGGGGATGATGATAGAAGAGAAGAGAAAGAAATAAATATTGATATTTTTTTATATAGTGAAGAAGAAGAAAAAAAAAAGAGTCTGTTTTTTGTGAAATAAAGGGATTCAAGCTTTTTATTGGGGCGTGTTAACGATGAAATTACTGACGGATAATTAAATATTAATTTTTTTTTAATTTTTTCATCTTTAATTTTGTCTATAATATTTAATTTAAATTTTTAATTTTATAAAAAGTTTTTAGAATACACCAACAATCACTGACGATTTTTTAATCTATTGGTGATTCCGTCAATAATATTTAAATAAAAATTTTAAATTAATTGAGTTTTTTCATAAAACTGTCAAATAACACAAATAACTTTTTAATTAGTCAATGATTTTATCCGTAAAGAACAACAATGAATAGTGTAATTGGAAAATGAACAATTATAGAGTTTTCTGGAAAATATAGATGGAAAAGTCCGTCACTGATTCCTAGTTGATATGATGAATAATATTCACAGTTTATCAATGAATTTACCGATGAAATTTATTTAGTCAGTAAAAAATAACATGTAATTATTTTTTTGTTTTATTTTAATTTTTTCTTATTATAATTCTCTCAGTATATATCGAGGGCTGACAAAATAAATTCTGTTTGTATTTATTAATTTTTTAGTAGTGGATAGAATATTAATCGAAGATAGCAAAACCATATAAAAACAGCACTATCAAGTTAATCACATTAAATTGATTTTAAATTATGTATAAGAATGAAGTAATTGCTAGCAAAATACAATTACCTATTTACATTGATTATGTTTAGTAAATACATGAAGTATATGAAAAAATCAATAGATCGAATGAATATTTATAATAAAGTGAAATACTATATAATAAAAATTAAAAGATTGTATAACATGCTCAGATCGTGTATTTATAGTTGAATAACTAATCATGAAATTTTTATAAAAGAGATCATGTCATTAAAAATAACAAACTATATTTTGAAAAATATTGTTATAAATAAATAACTAGATAACCATTTTGAAAAATATTGTTATAAATAAATAAATAAATAACTAGATAACTAGATAGTGTTTAATAAAGAGACAAGACATCAGGGATGAAAATGGATGGTAAGATATTGTAGGATACGAGATGCTAAGATGTAATTGATTTGAATTCGGTAAAGTGGACCAAAAAAGAAATTTTTGCTCCTATATTTGTTTAATGTTAAGAGATGAGATGCGAAAAAATACATAGAATATTTATTTTATACTTATAATAATTTTTTTTGTGCATGTTATGTTTGACATGTGATTTAATCATCTTTTAACATATTTTTAAATATATATATTCTTCAATAATTAAAAAATAAATGCATTTTTAATCTAAAAATTAAAATACTAAACATGCGCATTCACGCACGCACATTCACATAAATTATTATAACTCTCAACTTCATGACATTTTAAATGACATAGGAACCAATGTTGAAAAACCTTGCAGCGTTGATTAACTGTGATAATGGATTGTATGATGGTGTGGTTTTTTAAAGTAATTTTTATTTAAAAATATATTAAAATAATATTTTTATTTTTAACAGTGTATTTTAACTTTATATAATATTTTTATTTTTAACAGTGTATTTTTAAAATTATTATATTAAAAATAATTTTAAAATTTTTTAAAGACATGTAAATGTTTATGAAAACAATAATTGCTTAATTTGGATGATCGTCGCTTGTGGTTTCTAGGTCGACTTCATAGCACGCTTGGAGCACGTGATTAGTTAAGACGGCAACTATCATTACCATTTTTATTTTGGTAGATTTAAAGGCCGAAAGTTAGACACCTGGAACCCTTTAGCATGTCAGATATTTGACGAAATATCCTCATAGGCTGGATGCGAATATGGTCTCATCTAGGCCGAAGGTCACCGCCATACGGAGATATTTTTATCAAATTTAAGGGGCATTTATCTTCGATAAAATATTTTATAGAAAAATGATATATATATATATATATATATATATATATATATATATATATATAAACTGGTTATCGGGAGCCAAGACCCTTGTAGAGGGCTACAAAAACAGAACGCCGACTATTATAATAAAAAATAATACCATAAAATTTCATGACAAAAAACAAAAGATCAAACGGTATTTAATAAAAAAAATAACTGAATAAAATCTAAAAACAATTATCAATAGTTGTGAAAAAAAACACTTGCTAATATAAAAGGCAATGATTCCATAAAAAAAAATTAAATTTCAATAAAAGAAAACTTCAAATTATTTGTTAGTCAATAGGATAAATTGTAAGGTGCAGTAAAGACATAAAAAGAAAAAAGAAAAAAACAAAATAACCAACTAGTGCATGGATCTAAGTGTTCGGACCAATCAATAGAGGCCTAGCCCACATGTAAGGCCTTTTTTGTTTCATATAGAAAAGAGCCGTGAGTTTAATTTTTTGTTAAAAAATTCAATTTTAAATTTATTTTTAAACTAAAACACTTAAAAAACATTATCTTCGTCTACACCACTATTTGATTATTACCATCGCTTTAATAACCTTGTCGTTATAACACTTAAAGAATAAAATATATATATATAGCATTATATCCTAATTTTTTTTTGAATTCAAGAAAATCCCATCATTTCATAAAATATATTTTATAAGTCTAGATAAAAAAGTAATGCTTTTCAGTTATTTCATGTTTTTAGAAGAGATATGCATTCTAATTCA